TCAAAGGGATCCCGTGCAGAATTATTTTCATAAGAAAATGTTCAGTTGCTAAAAACCCTAAATGACATAACCCTTATAAAAATGTGTTCAAACTCCTCAAAATAGGGAATATCAGTCAGTATTTTCATATGGAGACTAATCAAAATTATTACCTTTATAAAAAATTTTATAAAATATCGGGACCTTCCTTTACATGAAGTCCATATAGATAATTTACTCCCAGAAGGGTTGGAACCCATTATGATTTTTTAAAACCCAATTTAAAGAGTCCCATTTAAAAATATGGCTTATATCATCAAATCAGTGAATATCGGGAGGTAACGATGTATATGGACTAGTCGAAAACATAAACCTATATAAACAACATCTTACAAGAGTGAATGGCCAAACAGAATTTTTCCAAGTGGTAAATAATGTCTGAATTATCTTTGAAAATATTATAGGGATCTTGTCAGTTTTTTCCGCATTGAGGCCCATAACCAACTAAAAAAAACTAAGGTTTACCCGAGCCAGTGGAAATACAACAGAAATTAAGAAAATACAAAGCTGGTGGTCGAGCTTGACGGACGATTATTGATTTCCCCTGGAAACAGATTGGGAAGTACTTAATTTCTATAACATGTTCATTTTAAAATACGGGATTAGTTGTCTATCTTGTAAATAAAAACTGACGCCAAAATGTACTTATAAACCCATTATTTGGTAATGTGATTATTTTGTATGTAAATATATTTAATTGGGCGGAATAAATTACAAAACGTATACCTAAATAGATAACAACGTTTGTAATTTTTTACATCATTAAAAAAACACCCTATCTCCCATTTGCTCTAAATGGCATGCCTTTTTTATGGGTGCCCAAAGATGTAGCCAAAAAAGGTATTCTAAACCACTGTACGTTGAATAGCGTGGGATTAATTATTATTTATGTTTAGTCTACAATTTCAAAAGTTCGGTAAACATTTGAATAAGCATCATATTGAAACCTCATTTTCACATATGACTCAAATTTATTTTTATTTAATTTGCTTCTTTTTCTCCAAGAATTTTAAAGTCTTGAATTCATTTTATTATTGTTGTGATTCCATTTAAACCCCAATGTCATTATACGCTATAGATAATTTAAAGAGGGTGATTTCTTATCATCAATTCTTCTTATTTAATTTACAGTCACCACACTACTTCCTTTTGTCTTCAGAGTTAATGTTTGTGGCTCTCTCCCCTTTTAGTTGGGAGTACTTGTCGTCAAGAATTTTAAAATGAAGGAGAAAAAAAAAGAACATATTCACGCTGATACAGTTCATTAACTTTTTGCGATAAATTTCGTTGGTTTGGCTTGTGTTAAATTCAACTTTGCCAAGCCAATACCGATTCATTGTGTATTTATCTACTGAAAGTAGCGAATGAGCGGGCATTGGATTCGTAGTATCATACCGCCATCGACAGTGCCACTATTTGCCACTGCTACTTAAATTTAGCACCACAATTTTATATTGAGTCACATTTTGGTTCGGTGTGTCTGTGTGCCATGCCGGAGAATTACAATGCAAAAGAAGTAAAAAAAAAAAGTCTACAAAATGATAAACAATGGGGGGAAGGGAAGCCCAAATTATAAAATATTGCGGAAAAGTTTTTTTTTTTTTTATTTTTTTATTTTTTTGTGTTATCAATTGTTTTACGTAAATGACTAAGAATTTAAATATAAATATTTGTATGTGCCAATTGATAAATTTAATAATTGTCACATTTTAATTGGAAAAGTGAACCAGTTACTGATTATGAAGAGCAGGGGAGGTAGGTGGTGTTCTGAAGAATGCATTCTAATGGTTTTTACTATGTAATACCGCAAGCATGGAGCTGCAAGCGTTTGCAATTACGAAATACTTGAATATTATTAAAGATGTCACAGCTCAGGAAAGTACAAAGGAACGACTATCGAAACTATTTAGGGAGCTCAACTGGTGGAAAACTAAATTATCCAAATAAAAAGTACAGAATCGTAACCATAATATAGTAAATATTCCGGGGGTGGTGTCCTTAGAGTTGTCCCCGGGGTGAGTCCCTGTCACGGCTATTTAAACTAAACCTCTGGATGGGCCACACTTCCCTTTTGAGACTATCGTCATTTCTTGCCGTTGTAAACAGAAGCAAGACACAAAACATTGATGTGTATCTCATGTCTTCTTAGTGTTAAATATGCCAATAACAATTAAAAAAAAATTATAATTCTTCATAGTTAGATATTAAAAAAAAAACAACAACAACTACCATTAATGCATTTCATACCACCACAATCTACCACTTACGACAATTACCATAAATGTACACATTAATAACTGACGAGAATCGAAACAAAATCTGACGTCAAATCGTCTAATGTATACACTTACATTATTGCGGTTTCTAAAGTCGGCCTTAAAGGTCGTTGCACTTGGCACTGCTGCAGTGACCTCAAATGGATGAATAAACGCATACCTATCTATAATAGCACTGAAGAAGCAAATGTGTGCCTGTGTCTGTTGTGGTGTTACAATCAAATTAGCCAAATGTTTTTATTAGGTTTAAAATTTGAACATACTAAAAGTTTGGTCTCGAAAAATGAAATTTGTGAAAAGTATATCAATATTCTCAGTTCAATGTCATTGTTAGCTACTGACAATTTCAAGATGGGTTTCTCCTTATCATCAATTAATTTTATTTAATTCATAGTCACCTCACTATTTCCTTTTGTCTTCAGAGTCAATGTTGTAGTACCCGTTCCTTTAAGCTGGAGTACATGTGGACAAGAACTTTAAAGATGAGAAGAAAGTAACAAAATATTCGTGCTGATACAGTTCATTGTCATTTTTTGGTTTTGCTTGAACAACAATTTACCCACAAGTAAAAGCCTGAATTGATTGGAAAAAATTAAAAATTATATGCAAGTTATCGTAATTGAAAAAAAACGGCAAAAATTATACGAAAATGCATTTCGAAACCTTGCGGGAAATTCCAATCATTTTCCATACAAAATTTACGAAGAATGGCCGCACCACGATAGGGTCCCTGGATGTGAGGACAAGTTAGTGAATATCACTCAAGAGTTGAAGAAAATCCAGGTTTGTACATTCCTCCTCGTTCTTTTAATGTAGACTTGGGACTAAAGTTAAGAATAGATTACAAAATTAATTTCGGCTATAAATGGCTAGCTTTTTCATAAATGAACGAAGAAAGTTAGGATGACTTAAATGTCAATTAAATATCGACCTCCAATGTTATTTTTTCAATTTAAGCCAGACAAAAATCCTCTTATGTATTCTCACACTTAGGGCTTATAAGATTTAGTTTAAACAGATCTAAGCCGGCCGATCATCAAGATCCTCGTGTCCTTTACCGTCTTAGCCAGAAATGCTTTTCGAACTCATTTCAGAGGGGACCAGCCGGCAGAAAATGAGATATTCAAGCAGAATTCCCCAGAAATATGGATAATTTTACACGTTCTGGGGGACCGGACCCCCTATGTCCCAACCCTGGCTACCTCGGTGGTGTCTTTTATAATTGGATACTTGGTCATCTTGACTGATGAGATCCATTTCCATATTGTTGCCTACATCAAAAAGCAAAAAATGTACCATCTGGAGCTCGGAAACCGAAAGGCAATTATCAAAAAGCCAACTATTTGATGTGGTTTGTTGTCCGGCGGGATCATTGGATTTTGTGTTTGCGAAAATAAGGTTGGATCAACAGTTACAGTAAATGGGTTACGCTATTGAGAGCATATTAATCATTTCTTACGCCAAGATGGTTGGATGGTATTAATCTGGAAAGTGTTAATTTCCACAAGACGGCAATGTGTGGCATACCAAAAATGAAATCATCGCGCTTTTACTAGAAAAGTTTCCGGATCCTGTTTCTCTAGAGAACTGATCACAATGATATAGCGTCGATTCAAACCTTAAAGTTAGCTATCGAGGACCCAGGGCAGCCACTTTGCGGCTTGGTTATGCAAAATTGCATTTGCGCCTATAAGTGTTTGCTCATGGTGGCCGTTATGAAATAAACATCTAATCTTATTAATCTGTGATTTGTAACGAGATTACCAGGTATTAACAATCTGCATACATTTGGTATTTGTAGTTTGTAATGAGTCATCCTTCTATATGCTAACGTTGTCTATATATGACCATGTTTTCCTATAGCCCCCAAAAAGCTGTACCTCCCGAAATTCGCTATTTTATTGATTTCAGTTTTTCCACAGAAAAGTTTCAAATAGTATTTAAAACTCGCATATAGCGATACCACCCACATTTTGCGATTTTAACGACATCATCTGCATTCTCCAACCATCTTCCACATTTTACAGGTTTCGGCATCGTACACCATTACCAACTTCGTCGGAATATACGATTGTCTCTCTAACACTGTCATTCAGAGATTAGGTTTATATTTGTAACAACACTCATAATCTCTTCAACGAAAAATATCTGAATGGATGTAGTTTTCTTCGTACTCCCCACCGCTACAACCAAACCCGTAATAGCCGTATTTGTAGCGATTCCGCCTAATCGTGTGTCATTCAAGTTATGTTTTACACACCCATACACTCTAGGGTCTATAGTGGATCAAGTATCTTTTCCTTTTTACTATTCGTTAGCTTTTGTTTCCGATACAAATTCAAATATTCTACGGATACCCCTGTAGCAATTTATGGATTCCAAGCTCTAAATATATTGTCATTGTGGACTTTTACTAAAATTTAGCAAAGGATTTAAAATTTCATGTTGAATTATATTAGAATTCACATTCAATGGCAACGAGACATGAACAAACGTCAAACCCAGCCAATGATATCAAATGTCATACAAATATTTGGAACCTGGCTAACTTATATTGTGCAAAGCAGCCTCCATATAGGCATATCACGCCTTTGATTTGCCTATTTTCGATGTGTGCAATTTTACCTAAAATTAACTAGCAAAGGAGCTCATAGGATAGTTGTAAACAAGGAAATAGAAACAAACCTTTTCAGACATGACCATGTTGTTGTCATCGGTGCCGTAAACGGTCTCAGCACCAGGCTGAGGACCACGATTGTTGAGTAATGTGTCGTCGTTATCCATGTTGTAATGTTTTCTTGTTTCTTCTATTTTTGTTGCAAATCCTTAAATTCTTCACTTGTTTCAACAGCGATGCCACGGCCGACGACGACGAAGAGTCAATAAAAATAACACACTCTCCTTCTCTCACCAACAATTAATTTGTCATGCGAGGACACTCTCAGTTATGTACGGAGGGGGGTATATGTCAAATTTTTGTCGCCGGAGTATGGGGATAACGACATGGAAGTGGTGAAGTGATGTCGAGAACGAAGGATAATGGTTGGGAAACACAATCACGCACTCACTCTCGTCGAACGTACACAAGCACGAGCACGAGCAAGTGTCAAGTGAGAGGGGGTTTTACAACCCCTTATAATTTGTATGCTACTCCTCTCTCTGGCTCTTTTCCTCTCTCTCTCTCTCACTGGTAGCACTTCACTTAGATTTTCTTCACTACATATGGTTGGTTATGCTTATATACAATATTTAATTTCTTATTGAAGAGGATATATTTTCCACTAGAATGAAACAATCAATTTCCTTTTGTTAAGCAACATTATTCACTTTTCTTTCTATCTCTCTTTTCAATTTTAATCTCACTTCAATTAATTAGGATTTTTCTTTTTTTGTGTCATATTTTTGAAATTTCATAAACACATCATTTTTGTTTTTATGTACTTCTTGTTTTGCTGACGAAATATTTAACAAATTTGTTTGTTGTTATTGCTTTTTTGTGTGTTGTTTTTCTTTTTTTTTTTTTTAATTCAAGGTAGTCGTCGCCTAAAAGATAGATTTTTTCACTCGTTTTACTGGCTGGCTGCTTGCTGCTGGTCGTTGTTGTTGGTAGGTAGGTCGGTCGTTTTGAATAAGAAACAAGGAAATAATTTGTAATGACTAGATAGATTTGATTATTAGATTTTTCATTGGCCAATTTATGCCTCATGAAATTTATATTTCAGCACACCAATATTGCACTTTGGTAGGGCATCACTTGAATTGGGTGTTTAAAACACTTTCATATTGATTTATTCCATTTTAATAGGAGTATTTTAGAAAAATTTTTAGAAAAAAAAATTTTTGCTAAGCGAAACGCGTATTATGACGTGAAAATTTTCTTGGTGTGTAATGAATGAAGAAAAAAGAACTGAGTCGCGGACTGAGAGAGTGCAAAGCGGAGAGCATAAAATTCAATTTTGACATATGACATTTTGTGGCGTTTGTTTGCCAGCTGTTAAATTACGACGCGGCGTATGGGGAAGGTAGACTTTGGATAACGTAAAACGTAAACATAAAACATACAGTGGGGGATAAAGATTAAAACATTCCATTTTTAAAACCATTAAAACCCAGAAATATTTCTCGGAGAGCATATCAAGAATGTATTCTTCATCAGCATGAAACCAAACCTGTCTGCCAGCTGGATAATATAAAGTAGTTTGTTTTGAGGGTTTCACAATAATTTCCCACCTAATAAGGTTTAGTGCGACATTTCACGTTTATAATTTTAATTTTACCGATATTTGTCGGTTACTCAAAAAATGTGTTAGATAATCTCACTACTCTTCTAAGTATTTTAACAACATTCTAAAAAATTTAATTTTCTTTATTAATACAACATAAATGATTCTGTACTGCTTCATTTGGGTCAAAAAAAATAATAATATATTTCGTTCCTATATCTCCAAAATATTAAAAATACTTCCAAGAATTCTTCTTTACCCAACTTTTTACGACTGCTTCATAGTCGTACCACAGCATTGTAAACTTCTTTCAGTCAAACTTACTCATTTTTCAATATCTGTTTTGGGATTCTATATTTTGGTGGGTAGTTATTATTTAGGTATGAATCTAAAAACGATCCTGACCGGGTTGTGGGTACAATCTTCCCTTAGTGCCTGGCATATTTCCATGCTAAGATATAGTGAGTTTCTAGCATTTTTAACCAGGGGCGCTAGAGCCCCACAATGCATATCAATGTGAGTCTTAGGTCAGCCTTGGTTGATCTTACAATATTTAAATCGATCTCCAAGGAAGCTATCCTACTTAAGTCACAACATTAAATACGTGTTAGTGCATGGTAGAAGAATATAGGTAGACGCGTCGACACAGATGATGGGACAATAAACTTTCAAACCAATTTTGGAATTGAAAATGTTGAATGAAAAATTATTTAAATTTGTAACAATTGTTGAAAAACGCGAATTATAATTGCCTCCGAATGACGTAGTATAAGAAAACATATAAAAATCTACTTATATTTAGTGAGTGAAAAAAACATTCTTTTTTTTTTTTTGACGTATCAATGCTCCCAAGCGTTGATGCATCTACCTGTATTCTTCTGTCATGTGTCAGTGTAAGAATTTTCTAAAGTCCTTAAAGACTAAGGATATATTCCAACAGATATACTGATAATATTGCAATAATTGCGGGTTTAAGGTTTTTGTTTTTAACATTAACTTTTATTCACTCCTTGAATTTACAAATCCCTTAGCCCAACTTAACATTCCCCAACACCTTTCCATTAATAACTCATCACTCTTTTCTTCTTTTAATTTTACACATTTTGTTTTCATTAGTTTTTATTCTATATTGGTAAAAACTTAAAAAAAAAATCATTTCATGGAAATGTTTTACAAATTAACATTTCTCTGGCGGAGTTTAAATAAGAAAAAGAATAAAATAAAAAAACATATTTTTTGCAAATGCTGTTTTGTTGATATTCCTAGGTATACAATTTCCATACAGATAATATGGAAATAAATTTAAATAAAAAACACATGAATCCCAACAAGTGATAGCCGCGGATGGGTGGTAAACAGAGCTAACATTTTTAAAATGTTATTTAAACTAAATGATATTTACACTTCTACTCTGTGCCCATTGTCCATGCCGTTGGCGGATCACCTTCCCATAAAGTCTTCTTTTTAATTAATTCCTGTTCAATGAATTAATTCACTAAGTTACTTCTAAGTGTTTAAAGCATGTTATGTTCGTGTATGTGTGTTTTTGTTAATGTTTTTTAATGTTGGTGACGAGTTGTTGCTGTTTGTTGTTGGTGGTTATATGGTGCTTTTGGTTGTCATCACTCCTCATCCATCATCAATGAACTATTCCTTCGATGCCATATGACCCATCAAATTCCCCGTGAATTTTTCAATTTTCTTCAAATCAGGCATATTTTCAGCTTTATATTGAATGCACTGGAATATAAAAAAAAAGGCATATCATGAACCATGCTATGTTGTGCATTTGCATGTTTCTTACCTTGACGTTGTCGGTCAATTTCAGCAATATGTGACCCTTGTTGTGAACATATTTCATTGTGTAGCGACAAGTGCCTGGATTGGCCATGTACATATTTTCGGCAGCGATTTCGAAGTCTTCCCAACTTTTTACGAAAACCATGGCTTTTGTGGAATATTTTCAAATGTGGGTGAGAAATGAATACAACAATTGAGGGATTTGCGAAAGTGAAATTAAATCAAAGAACTGGGATTTTTTGTCGTCGTGTTGCTTAAATTTGTCAAATTATTTGACACTTTGTTTTGTGCTTGTCATACGTGTCGACTTTCGATAAATCAGTTATAAGTCGAAGTAATCGATAGCACGAGTACTGTTAAATGATTAAAAGGGTTGCCATCGCACAGTAATATTATGAACCCTCGAAATGTATCATGGTAGAAGAATATAGGTAGACGCGTCGACACAGCTGCTGGGACAATGAACTGTCAAACCAATTTTGGAATTGATGTTGAATGAAAAATTATTTAAATTTGTTAAAAATGTTGAAAAAACGCGAATTATAATAGCCTTCGAATGACGTAGTATAAGAAAACATATAAAAATCTACTTATATTTGAAAAAAACTTTTGAGTTTTATTGACATATCAATGCTCCCAAGCGTTGATGCATCTACCTGTATTCTTCTGCCATGGCGGTTTCAATCACGTTGTTCGCTCTCAGAAATAGGTACACAATTAACCCGTAATTCGTAATTCATAGTAACATAATTCTTTTTTTTTTTTTCCAAAAAAAAAATTATTTGTTGATTCAAATTGGAATTTCGTACAAATTATGAAATTCACATTAATATCAATAGACGAGATTACTGTTTTTCCTCCAAAGATTTATTTTTAATCAATTTTACAATTTTCATTGTTGTTTTCAATTTTAGTATAAATGTTGATATTTTAAATTAGTTTTTGTTTGTCTTTCAATTCTGCTAAATATACGCTTATCAGATTTTTTATGTCGGTACAAAATTTTTTTTTAAATAGTCCCTGTTCTCAACTTTCTGCGAATATTCCAACTCTTTCGAATTTTCTAGTAAAAAGTTGCAAAAATGTCAAAATTATAAGATAGTTGCATGTCCAACAACCAAGCTAAAATAATCTGTAGCGAAATTCTCTGCCGACAAAAGGCGGAAAATTAGAATGCCTATAATCTCGGTAAATTTGTCGGTAAGTCAGCGACGAAGTCAAAGTAATCGCTAAGACCTAACGATAGATACCGATTTTTGTCGGTAACTCAAAAATGATTTAGAGAATCCAACTATTGGTCTCTATCTTGAATTCAAGAAAAATATGCTAAAAACAGAATGAGCACGTCATTATGCGCGTCAAGTTTTATCGATAAATCATAAACCGCATGAATAAAGATTTGTTAAACATATATATGTGGTTGTTTTTTTGTTATTGATCAACGCGTTTGTGTTCAGTCTTTTAGGATGGGGAAAATAGACGGTAAAAACTAAGTTTATTAATGCTTTAAAAAAAATATAATGTTGTCCGAATGAATTTGCAGTCAAATTGGCTTTTATTTCATAGCAGGTATTGTTAAACTTCATTCGAGAACTACACAAGAACTAATAGCATCGAGAATGTTTCCGTATGATGGAGGGTTTAAAATCTCTATTTTTATATGTTTCAGTTTCCTACAAGAAAAATAAAATTCGACTTCCTTAGATGTGGAATATATAACCGTTTCTACGCGAAAAATAATAGATTGTGACCGGTTATTACATTTTCCAATAGATAACAAAATGATGTCGGACAAAGCAAAGCTGTAATAATGAAAATCCGATAATGTGAACTCTTTTCCTTAAGTAAGGGATAACAAAAGTGGAAAGATATAAGAACGGGTCTATATCATCTTTGTAAAACACGCCATGCGTCACACGAAAATATTTCAGATATAAAATTAAATGTTATTCGAACACGTTTAAAAGTATCGGGCGGTTTTGCCGACAGATGTATACCCTCAGCAAGGGTTCGATTATTATGGAGTAGGATTTAGAAGGAATGGACCAATATTGCCCATTTCGTATAGGACCTAAATAAATAAATATCATATAAATATTGCGATGTGTCGGATTTTGATGGAAATATTGAGAGGTACAAAGTCTAAATTGAATTGGATGTTAATTTTGCGTTTTATAAACTTCATGGATATTAAAAAGAAAAAAAAAAAATATTGTGATATGTGAAATATGAGGAGAAATGGATGGTTATTTTGGATTTTATAATCGTTTTGATTATTCAAAACTTTGAATCTTTGTGGAGGAGGTACCAAAAAGAATGGCCCGATCTTTCGATCTTTATAACAGATCTCGTGTTGTTAGAAATATTGGGATTTGTCAAGTCTGAATGGAATCTGATGTTAATTTCGCGTTTTATGAGTTTGTGGGGGAGTACCAGAAGGAGTGGACCTATATATTTCATCTTCACACCAGACTTTGTGTTAATAAAAATATTATGATTTGTATAATTTGAAGACAAAATATTGATCCTTTGGGGATCAATATTTTGGAGGTATTTGATAGAGTGGATCGATATTGTCCATTTTCGCAACTGACCTAACATTGATGGTAGTATTAGGATCTGCTAATTTAGAGCAAAATCGAATTATCCTTTCTCTTTCTAAGCTGTAAAATATATTTTTGAAAAATCCGACCTTTTGTGAGGGACCCTTTTGTGGGGGAGGTACCAGAAGGAGTGGACCGATTTTTCCCATCTCCGAACTCGATGTAAGTTTGATAATAATATTACGATATATCAAGTTTAAACCAAATCAGATACTCCATTCGAGAGTTATGGTTCGCACCAGGCAGCAGACAGACGGACGGACATCACTAGATCGACACCAAATGTCCTGAAACAGATTTGGTGCAAAGAGACCTAGGGTCTAAAACTGTTATTTCGTTTAGGCACGTTTTGGCCGTATCAAATGATATATACCCTCTTTAGCCATGTGGCTGAGGGTATAAAAATGACAAGGTCGAATACTTCAATATTTTACACGACAATTTTTGTTAAAATAAACATAATTATTGTATATTTTTAATTAAAGGATTTTCACGACACAAAAAAGAAAGCGTGTCACCTTATTAGGAAGACAAACAGGATGAGATAAAATAAATCGATAACAGCTTTGTTATTGTGTTGGTGTTAGACTCTATACATCCCTTGTTTTGACGTTAGAATACTTGTCAGTGTGTTGCCAATGAAATTGTGGTAGTTAATACGTAATTCAATAGATGGCGCACAGGGGATTTAGAACACCAATTGATAGATGGAGCTTTTATGCAGATTCAGAAATTTAAAGTGTTTTCACAATATTGGTTCAACAAAGTTTGTTGTCGAATAAGGAAATAATAAAAAAAATGAAGTAAACAATGAATTTGGTCAATTGGGGAGCTTCTCAAATTAAAAATCTCTAGACGTTAATTTTGCTGACCTAAAGTGATGTATGTTATTCAAAGTCGTTCTATAAAATTTACTTATTGAAATGGCGACCAAATGGGGAATAAACAGTTTTTGTAATAACTAAAAGAACTGATTTACCTAAAAATAATGAAATGAGCTATCTTCAAAAATGATTAAAATACTCCAGACAACCTGTTGAGCATGCCTAAATTCTTTTTATGAGAGCAGTACTTATGACTCACACAGATATTTGTATTCAAATGAGTACTGAATTCGTTACTGGCGAGAACTGCAATTGAACGCGTTTGATTATGAATGAAAATAACACTGGACAACACTAAACTAAAAAAGTTATCTAAGTTTTCCTGTTATATGCTGTTTCTAGCTTCAGCACAGTTGATGTTCTCATATGAAATTCGAAAACCTATTCAAAATTTTCATCCTAGCCTTGGCAGTGATTAAAATTATATTGTTTCTGAGCGAAACCGTCTAACCGACATAAGTATTTTAAAGAGAATTGAAACTGATAAAATTTATTAGAACATTGTACGTTGGAGTCATAGACGAATTGCGTATACCCTCTATGGGGAACAGGTTTCAGAAATTAATGGTATATTCTACTGGATGGTCTGAAGTTGCTCCAAATGCACAAAAGACCTCGGCTGAGTTGTGAACGCCATGATTAGACTTAAAGTCGTCTGCCCTCAGTGGCAACAGGTTTGCTGCACAGTGTAAATAAATAAAAATAAAAAATCTTAAGCGACACGTCATTATTTGAATACAAACCTAAAATACACGTACACACGTACAAATATCTCAAGTAATTGAATATGAAACTCTGATGACTCAATAAATCTTGGAACATCAGTCTCAAATAAACATTTGGTGAGAACGAACATTTCTGCAGCGGACTTAATTTTTTTTATAAATATTTTATTTTTGCAAAAAAATGAAATTTATTGCAATAATATTATTAGTATTGTTCGCTCTGATTCTGGCAAATATTGAGGTATGAACAGGCATGTATCCAGCGCCAGTGTATATTTCACTAATCTTTATTTTTAGGCAAATACGGTTTTAGAAGAGGAGGGCAAAAATGTTGTAACAGACACTGATCCCAATGAAAGTGTGAGTGATGAGTCCAACCTAAATCTGGATGAACAGAATGTTAAAACTAATTATTATAAGTTATGCGATTGGTAATATGTTTTATTACCGCAAATGTTGTTTTCATAAAAAAACAGGCGTAACGTGATAAGTCTAGAGTATTTTTAAATAACAAAATAAATATGACATCCCAACAGATTCTGTTCTAAATTTTTTGTGTGAATTCCCACCCATGTGGAAAGAAAGGTAATGCTGGAGAGGTCCCGTTAATTTTTTTGTTTTCAATATAATGCCGAAAACAAAGTCGAGCAATGGAGTGGAGTTATTAGAAAAGTATGGAGTTTTACCAGCTTTGAAGCTGAGGGGTGAATACCGAGGTAATTAAATAATATTTTATAATTTTATTTAACCATCATATGTACAGGGTGAGATAAAAAATTGTTGCAGACGCCATAATTTTATTTTTTTTTAAATTTTATTGAATGAAAGCAAAAAATGTCGGAAATAACATCAAACTTTAGAATAAGTTTAGATTTGTTCGAATTGGTCACCTTTGGCACGAATTATGGCCTTCAAACGGCTAATGAAATCGTCACACGCTGCCCAAATGTTGCTCTGTGGTATTTTGGCCCATTCCCGGCAAAGCGCTTGCTTGAGGTGATCGACACTTTGGTATTTTTAGTGCCAACCTTGCTTTCCAAAATACTCCAGACACAATAGTCCAACGGATTGGTATCCGGAGATTTTGGTGGCCATTGTGCGTAGGAAATGAAGCGAGGAACCTCATGTTGTAACCATTCTTGAGTGGCGAGTGCTGAGTGCGATGGTGCTGAGTCCAGTTGGAATGTCCAAGGTCTGCAGCCAAAATGTTTCCGTGCCCAAGGCTTTAATACAACCACCAGAATATTTTCGCGATAATATTCGGCATTTATTCTGATGCCACGGTCGATTAATACGAGCGGAGAGGGACCATCGGCTGTTATTGTGGCCCAGTCTACCACCATGGCTTGAGTTCTGGTGGCCAAACGAAGGTGCACATTTTCAGCTGACCTCTTTAGCAAGTAAACGCGATCATTTTGTTTGTTTACAAACTGCTGGACAACGAGTGTTTTCTCAACGGAGAAAAACAAATTCGGCAGTTCACCACTTTTCTTTCTGTAAGTTCTTGTACTTTTTGGAATTTCAATGGCTTTACCCCCAGCTCATTTTTCAATTCATGCCGAATGGAATATTGCGATATGTTCAGCTCACGAGCCATTTTTCGGCCAACGCGACGCGGGTTTTGATCAAGTCGCTTCTTTACTTTTAGAACCATTAGCCTCGCTCGCTTCGAAGAGACTAACACAAAAAAAGATGCTGCCAGGTGTGGCAGAACCGGAGTATCCGTTCTGCAGAGAATATTGTTGCTGTAGGCGAGGATGTCATGGAAGCGTCGTCGACATCGACCAGACGACGTGCCACGCAAATGTGTATCAGTCGACGGTCTTTACAGCTAATTTTGGTACAAGATTTGAATATGTTTCCATATAGAGTCCAGATGGTGCATCAGCTGTTAGCTGCTAACAGCCAATCGGGTCTAACATACGCTCAAGGCATCCTTAATTACCATCAAGAAGAAGATGATAATCATGAGTGATTAGGCCCATTTCCATCGTAGCGGGTACGTAACTAAGCAGGGGACTGAAAATCCGCGTATAACCCACGAAGAGCCATTATACCCGCTCAAAGTCACTGTATGGCGTGCTGTTTTCGCTGGAGGAGTCAGCGGACCTTTTGTCTTCGAAGACGTCGAGAGCCAAACGGTTACTGTGAATGGTGAGCTCTACAAAGCAATGACCAACGACTTCTTTTTGCCGCAACTTGACGAGTTTGGATGGAAAACATGTGGTTCCAACAGGACGGCACACACCACAATCGATATGCTGAAGGATGAATTTCCCGGACGACAAATCTCCAGACTTCTTTTTGTGGGGCTTTTTGAAGTCGCGGGTTATATGTCAACAAACCTTAGACTTTTTCAGCTCTTAGAGACAATATCCGTTAAGAATGGGAGAACCTATCGCCGTAAGTTTTGGCCAAAGTGATAGAATACGCCATAAAAAGGGCTCCTCGAATGACAATAAACTGTGGCGGCGACCATTTACATGGCATCATATTCTCGACTTGATGTAAAAAAAACTAAAATAAAAATAATCTACAAGTTTTTAATTTTTTTTTTCAAATGCAGCCAAAAAACATCGGAATTTTACTTTTGGCCCACCTTGTGAAAAAAAAAAACAATTATTGCATGCTTAAAAATGCATTTTTCCTAGATTCTTTGAAGTAAAACCATCAATCAGGTTATGTCATGGAATGACCCAGCAATGTTACTTTAATCGTAAGCTAAATTAAGCCAATCAAAAAGTTATCATAACTCCTGGTTACAATCAATCTGAAAGTAAATAATCGAAAAAATTGAATTATTAATTAAATAATGAACGATTAAAGGTGCAGTTGGTCAAGACAGAAGCAAATAAACACTAATCTCATGATCATTTCAGTGTTATCTTCAAATTCTTCCCTGCGGAACTTTTAAACTTTTTAGATGGCCACTAATGCCGCCACCATTTCCCCAAAACAAAAAGGAAAATAAAAATGAAAGGTAACAATCAAGGCGGCATTGTCTTTGTTGGCCGGCCAACAAAGCGGTTCATATTCAAAGTGATTATAACTCATGGATGAGTTATAATTGGAGTTGGTAATACAGCAACAGCAACAACAACAACTGCAAACAAATAAACAAACAAACCAGCAGACATTCAATTCCATGGAAATCACCTTTGAAAATGGTCAATTGGAAAACAAGAGAAGCGAGGGGGAGAGGGCCTATCCCCGTTTTGTGGACACATCGGATTAAAAGTTAATAGAGGCGTAAGCAAAGAAACCACAAAGTCGGTGTAATGATCAAAAGCCACCGATTGACAGGTTGCGACCACCAGCCAGACAGACGGACAGACAGGTCTTAGTCTGTCTGCCAAGAGACCTCTTTCGGGGTGACAATGGTAAACATTTTAATGCATTATTTGCATTTTTAAATCTCATAATTGTCATCATCAACGCCAAACATCAGTCGGTAGTCAGGCAAATAAGTAACAGCATCTGCGGTAGCTGTGTGTAGTAGCACATACTGGTCCCCGTCCCGCCTCTTTGTACATTAACTCATTTGGATGTGTAATTTTCTCAAAAACAAAAAAAAAAAAAACAAGTAAGCAAAGGCTATAGACGTGCGGGGCCGACCATGTGATACCCTACAACACTACAATATGTTAGAAGCCCCCTTATATCCAGATCGATTTTGGAAGATTTCACTTTTAAAATTATGTCACGGAGCACTGACCTGACCAGGGACATTTGCCCAATATATAAACACTCTGTCATGCTGTTAGTTGTTGTGGTTCATTTTCCATCCAAAATGCTAGAATCCTTCCCTGTCCTTAACTCTCTTCTCAGGCCTGTCGATTGGCTTCAATTGTGCGATTAGGATTTTTTTTTTTTGTTTTTGGTTCATTTGAACCCCTAAATATTTTACGATCATCTCCAAAAGCAAGAGGCCTCTCTGTATCTCTAAATTAAGACTCATCTATATGATTTGCTTGTCACGATATTTGGCTATATTCGTGAACGAAATCAGCATAAAAAAGCCAGAAAGTTCAGCTTTTGTGTATTTCGGATATCGCCTGTAAGTAATGCTGGTACTTTTTTCACACAAAAGTAATACTCCATTCTATTCGCTGTCCTAAACTCTAACTTCATGGGAGATTTCGAGTCTTTTGGTTTATATTTGTGACCTTTATAACGGCTGCAAAATCAGGAACATTTTTAGTTGTTGGTCCATTTCAACCCCCAAATATATTGCGGTCATCTTTAAAACCAATATGCCTATCCCTACTGAGCCTTACCCTATCCTTCTGAAAATTATCGTGAGAATAGCATTGTAATAATTGCAATCTGTATATAACCCCAACCTGTATTGTAAGGTAAAAAAAATATTACAAAATGTACACCTCAATATTATAAGTCAAATTGAAAAAATCGCATGCGATAAAAAATATGAAAAAAAAAAAATGTCACAAAATACTGCAAATTCGATATAACCATCATCATAGGTGTCTTTTTTTGCATTTTTTTAGATTTTATACTTTTATGCCAAGATGGCATTCTGAATTGACAAAATTTTTCAAAATCGGTCCAGCCATTCTTGAGATATAAGCATTCTAGCTAACATCCCCTTCCTTTGTGTATACACATTGTATATATTTCGCTATATATATCCGATATATTTACTATCGGCATCGACGTAACGGTCAGAATTGACCCGTTCGTCTATTTGTGATTTCGTCGGGATTAAAAATATTCGCGGTCTAATCGAAAATTTTACTTTTATTTAACACAAATGTTATGGTCTATTTCACCCATTAAACATTACCCGATGAACATCTAAATTGGAAGGCTTCTGCCCAGTCCAAAGCTCCAGCCCCATGCTAACTTCCGCGTCGATTGGTTCATAATTGCGGCCTGTAGAGCAACTGAAAAATCAGGATTTTTTTAGTTTTTGGTCCATTTCAACCCCTAAATATTATACAATCATCTCCAAAAACAATAGGGTTCTATTCTGGCCCTAACCCCACCTCCATTTTCAATTTCGTGAGGATTGGGCCATAATTGCGATCTGTAGAGTGATTACAAATTAACATGGACAGACGGACGGACGGCTCGGCGAGCTAGGAAGATCCATATATACTTTCCTATGTGGGAAATCAATATTTCGAGGTGTTACATAATTTTTGGCCCAATCAAACTTATAATACCCCCAACACATAGTGTTGTAGGGTATAAAAAACAAAAAAAAAAAAAAAAAAAAAAAAAAAAAAAGAGAGAAAAACAAATGGTCTACCTTCAGCTCCTTGAAACATCCACAAACAAGATGCGATTGTTATTGAAGTATTTGTTTAGAATTATTGATGTGATTGCCAAGAGTGGCCATTAGTTGAAGTTGATAAGAGAAGTAATATCCTTTGCGATTTTTAAAGTGATTAAAAATGTGATACGAAAGAATCATTTACTTAACAGATCAATATATATAAAAAAAAGTTTTTTTCTCTTAATTTAGTTGGCAAGTTTTAAAGGATGATTTTTTAGCTATTATCTCTTTGACAACA